GGAAAGAGGTACAGCTGGCCTCATAACAGACTAGAATTGGAACCGGAAAGCTGAGGAACCCAGAGTTCTCCCTATCTCTTTGTGTTTCAAATAGAAAGTTAAGTTATTCTGGTGCTGCAGAAGAGGAAGATCCAGACTATTTTTGCAGATGCAAGAAGCAGTCTCGTAGGTTCAAGGGTACACAGCCCTTAATGAAATTAGCAGTGAGTTTAGATTACAGAAGTCCACCAAGCCAAATAGTAGTGATGTTTGTACTCTCAGAAATCATACTGGTTTTGCCAGTTAACTGACTGTAGTACATTGCTAAACTCTAGGATTGCCAGTTTCCATTAGACTACCATTCAGAATTTGAACTTTTCTTTCTGGGAACATATGTTTTGTAAATATATATACACATTTTCCTATTTTTTATGAAATCTGCATTATGTATAGTAAAATACAGAGTGTGATACAGATTTATTCATATATTTTCCATATCATGGATATGTATTTCTCATATTTGGGAATATACAAATTCCCAAGTGGTGTGTGTATGCACATGCACGCCTTTCTTTTTGGTTGGGGTAGGGGAACAGCACAATTTTATTTTAAAATTAATTTACTTTGATTTTATTTTGTGCCAGATTTTTCTTGAAACCATATGGGCATCCTAGCAAAATTCTACCTATGGAGCCCTAAGGCTATTGTTGTCATACAGGGAAAGCAGGATGCTGTGATGATTTGCAGTATGTCCTCAAACAGTGTCTGTGTTTGGCTTCTCCCTGTGTACTGCCTGACAGTGGACTGTTTAAGAGCTGGAGCTAGAATATTAGGTTGTATTTTAGGACAGCTCTTGCCCACATTTCTGGCTTATTTTGTTCACCTAGCAATAAAAAATAAATTTATATTAACTAGACAGGCAATTTCCTGAGAATGTGTTTCAGGAAGATCTGGCTTAAGTTTTCTTGCTTTGTTGTTAGTGCCCTTATGTGAGTTAAAATAGCAAATTCTAAATCCCAAGATTACCTTCCTATTCCAAACTTAAACATCTCTTTGTTTGTACATATTTACTTTATTATTCAGTTCAAAGAATATTATGTCAGTAGTTCAGAAAACACAGGCATACCTCGTTTTCCTTTACTGCACTTCACAGATAATTGTGTTTTTTACAAATTGTAAGTTTGTGGCAATTCTGCATCAAGCAAGTCTGTCAGCACCATTTTTTTCCCAAAAGCATTGGCTCACTTCATGTCTCTGTGTCACAGTTTAGTAGTTCTCACAATATTGCAGACTTTTTCATTATTATAATATTTGTTATGGTATTCTGTCACCAGTGATCTTTGATGTTACTACTACAACTCACTGAAGGTTCAGATGATGGTTAACATTTTTTAGCAATAAAATATTTTAAAATTAAGGTATATACATAATGCTGTTACACACTTATTAGACTACAGTATAGTGTAAATGTGACTTTTATATGCACTAGGAAACCAAAAGATTAGTGTGACTTGCTTTATTGTGGTGGTCTGGAACTGAACCCTCAATATCTCCAATGTATGCTTGTATCATGTAATATAATCTAAAGCCCAACAACAGAACTTTCTGAATTATTTCTTGTTCTAGATAATCAATGTCAGCATTTATCCTAGTGGTATGGCTAAAAATCCGTTTGTAAAATGACTGCTTTAATTATATGTACTCATATATTTAATGATCAATGCAAGTACTCACAAAGACCAGGATTTATGGGCAGAATTACATTCAATTTAGGTCTCAAATTTTAGAACAGTTTAGTTTGCTAGTTTAATGTCCAAACTGGTATGGTAAAGAGATGGTTTCTTTTATTGAGTCACTGTCTTTCTCTTATGTTCAAGCTCCTTCTTCAAAAGCATCCCTGGTATCCCAGTTCTTCCAAGATTATGTCTCCAGTTGCTAGTTGCTCTGTCCAGCCTTTCCGTTGATCTGCAGCCCAATACTTGGAGCCCTTTATGTGCTGCAAGACAATCTGATGACAATCACTTGCTTGTGGTGGTACAACTAAGCCAAAGAAGTCATTTATAACTGAGTAGTTAAAAGTATGTGAACTATGTATGGAGCCTGTCTGCATGGGTTTGAATTCCAGCTCTACCATCTTTAGCTGTATGAATTTGGAGAAGTCATTTAACCATTCTGTGTTTCAGCATCCTCATCAACGATGGAGATTATAATAATACTCATCTTATAGGGTTATTATGAGTATTAAATTACTAAAAGCATTTAAAGTACTTTGAACAGTACCTGGCACATAGTAAGTACCATGTAAGTGTTTGCTATCATCATCCAGGCAATAGGCCTTTGATACGAGATTTTGTGTAGATGGTAGCAACAGTCTATATGTCCTTTACTTACGTGGGACAAGGAGAGAAAGGTGATTTGAATTACTTGCATTTCCCCCCAATCCAAGGAGGAAAGGGATAGCAGTGGGCCTCCAGGAAAGTCACATTTACTACAGTGTTCTGCCTCTACACAGGCCTTTCCCTCTCCAAAGCATAACTTCTCCACCCTTCCCACATCTTTGTCCTTGCTTATCTCCAATACTTCTCAAAGGAGAAACAAAGAGAGCTCTTTTTATTTGGCAGAAGAGAGGTTATAATAAAAGGACCCATTAGAGTTCATGGATCCCATTTGTTAATTATGTTACTACTTTTCTGAGTATTGCTTCCTGGAGTACTACAACACATTACTCCTGTTGTGGATCTCTGTAACATTACGTTCTTTCCTGAATTGCTGTCAATCACCAGATGAATACTATCTGTATATCGGGCATTTCTCTCTATTTTTATTTCCTCCTGTCATCTTTAGCCTACCTCTAAGTACCTACCTTATCCACTCCACTGCTGATCTCCCATTTTATAGTGTTAATTATTATTCTAATGTTTTCTGAATGAAATTGAATCTGCTATATTTTAAAACTAGTTTATTTGTTGCACTTCAGTATTCCATAATTAATATTCTCTTGGGCTTCCCTGGTGGTGCAGTGGTTGAGAGTCCGCCTGCCGATGCAGGGGACACGGGTCTGTGCCCGGTCCGGGAGGATCCCACGTGCCGCGGAGCAGTTGGGCCCGTGAGCAATGGCCGCTGAGCCTGCGCGTCCAGAGCCTATGCTCTGCAAATGGGAGAGGCCACAGCAGTGAGAGGCCCGCGTGCCGCAAAAAAAAAAAAAAAAAAAGGATTCTCTTGTGCTGCTTTATTGAAAAAGCAGGGCAGGGATTCCTAATTTTAGCTTTGTAACACTTAAGATCCTATATCCCTTCCAGAATACCTTTTTTTTTTCAGTGATTGATATTATAACATCAGACATTCATTCATGGGGTTAAAATGCTGTCAAATCTCCCTTTAAAATATAGATTTCTCTGAATATTTAGTAAATCAGCACTGAGTCAGGAGATCAATGTCCTAGTCTGTGCCACATGACTAATTAGCTATATATTCTTGAGTCCATCAGCTGAAAACTTTTTCAGAAGTATACAGTTTAGTAATTCAGAAGTCAGTCTTTCTGGGTTTAGATTCTGATTGTACCATTTAATAATTATTGAGAAGTTACTTAATCTCTCCAAGTCTCAAATTCTTTATCTGTAAAAGAAATAATGATAGTAATTGTAGCATAGGATGGCTGTGAGGATTGAATCCGATAATGTACATAAAGCACTTAGCATGGTTCTGTGGCACATTGGAAGCATTCAGTAAATATTAGTTTCTATAAGTATATATTACATATCTGGGAGGGAGGCACATTGTTGCCTTTTCCACCTTATCTTAGAGTGGAGGTTGGCAAACTATGACCCAACCCAAAGCCGGTCAGTGGCTTCTTTTGTATAAAACAGCAACAACTACAACAAAAAAACAAGAATATGCAACAGGGACCTAAAAAGCCTAATATATTTATATTGATGTTTATTATCTGGCCCTTTGCAGAAAAAGTTTGCTGTTCCCTATCTTACTAGGATTGCCAAGAAGCTTTATGAAGTAATTGTAATAAAATTCCAGATTCCCATACAATAAAGTGGGTTATGAATGTCTTAATACTAATTACTTTATTAATGATAAATGGTCAACCTTGTCCACTTAAAAGGTTTAAAATAATAAATTAGATGTGGGAACAATAGAGAGAAAAGAGGTGAGATTCTTTGGTACCATGGGCCTTTGAGGGAGGTTGCAATGGGGAACCAAAGCCAAAGGCACTGGACTC